GTAGCTATCAGAAGCTGGGCTCAGAGTAAGATCACCTTCTTAACAGAATAACAGAGTTGGAGGGAACTCTGGAGGTCTTCTAATCCAACCCCCTGCTCAAGCAGGAAACCCTATACCATTTCAGACAAATGGTTGTCCAATCTCTTCTTAAAAACCTCCAGTGTTGGAGCACTCACAACTTTTGGAGGCAAGTCGTTCCACTGATTAATTGTTCTCACTAGCAGGAAATTTCTCCTTAGATTGGTTCTCTCCTTGATTAGTTTCCATCCATTGCTTCTTCTCTGGCCTTCAGGTGCTTTGGAGAATAGTTTGACCCCCTCTTCTATGTGGCAGCCTGTGAGATATTGGAAGACTGCTATCTTGTCAGAATGTAGCTGAAAGTCATCAAAACTAAGTCATTAATAAATTTATCTTAATCCCTTTTGAAAACTACAGAACTAATCATTAGCAGAAATTAGGGTTGCCAGGTCTGCTTCCAAAAAATAGCGGACAAGTGGGGGGGGTGTTAAGTAGTAAAAAAATTTACAATTAAATTATATATTTTCTTACAAACATTTTAACTCGCCATTTCAGTCGACACAAGCTACAATACATTTTAAAAATGTGAACTGTACATAATTTTATAATATATTTTTATTTTAATCTCATCATTAATTTTTTCGGAGAATCGAGTTCAATGGATATTCGATCTTTGTCTCATTCTAATTTATGAAAAAAAAGACAAAACATGATTCTCCTATCCTTATTCTCTTAGACTGTACAGCTTTAGATTACGTACCATTTCATCATAAAGCTTTTGAATAAAAAAAATGTCCACTATTTTGTGAAAAAAAATAGTGAACATAATGTGAAAAAAGCGGACTGTCCGCTCAAATAGTGGACACCTGGCAACCAAATACATTTTTTTTAAAAAAAATCTATAAAAACTCATTCCTGTCTCTTATGCTGTGGGTCCGTTGAAACATCCAGGAAACCTGGGCTATGGGAGAATTCTGATATAACAGCCATCCGTTAGTGGTCTGATTTATCTATCAAATTGGTTGTATTTATCCTATTCCCTCCATATTTTGTTTAGACCAAATCTGTTGCTTTGCATTGTCGGCTGACTGAAGGCAGCTGCCTCCAGTTTTCATAACATAAGATGTGCATATCTCCCAGCAGGAGAGCTCCATCAGCAATGCAGTAAATAAATAAACTGAAGGAAATATGTTATTGCTTTCATATCCAGTGTCTAAACCCATTTCAGACAATGAAAGCGGAATACTGGAGGAAACAAACACACAAACACACATCAGAACCTAAGTGGTCTGTCTGCCACCTAGAGATGCCACCAAGGTCTAGCATACAAGCATTAACAGAATGGCTTTAGAAGAACTTGATGCGTTGAATAAAATCTCACAAACAACCATGAAAAAAAAAAGAGAGAGAGAAGCTTTTGATTCGGCATACCTAACAGGGGATCTTTGAAATTTCATTATTCTTAAATATAATTGATTCCAACCCATAGCACTGAAAAAAGCCTGTCCCTCTGAAGACCTCCACCTTTTTAAAAAATACACATTTGTATTTTTAAAAAAAAATACAGGGAAAGTTATTTTGCGCTTTACAATATTCACTGACAGCTGACAAATGACCAGTGTTCTATAGAGAGGAAAATATTAACGAATTCCCACCACTGAAGAACAGTTTTTGAAATTAATGGAATTGGCAGAGATAGCAAAACTAGCTTTCTCTGAGGAAAGGGCGAAAGCCAATCTAGATTTGTTTCTGTTCGAAGACCACTTTTGGACTTCTTCCTTGAGAAAGATAAAAATGAAGTTTCACTATTCAGGGATCAGGATTTGACTATTTGATTTGTTACGATTATAGAAATATTGTGTATTTTGCTCTTATTAGAAATGTACACTGTATATTTATATGTTTAAGCCTAGAATAAGAGGATACATACATGCATACGTACATATAAGCATACATACATACACATACACACACACACACACACACACACACACACACACTCATTGATTCATTGATTCATTCATTCATTGATTCATTCATTCATTCATTCATTCATTCATTCCCTGTCTGGGGAATTCTGGGAGCTGAAGCCCACATCTATTCAAGTCACTAAGATTGAGAAACAATGGTCTAAACTCTAGTCCTTGAATCAACTTCCTTGTTGTGTTGAATAGAATTAGAATAGAATAGAATAGAATAGAATAGAATAGAATAGAATAGAATAGAATAGAATAGAATAGAATAGAATAGAATAGAATAGAATAGAATAGGATTCTTTATTGGCCAAGTGTGATTGGACACACAAAGAATTTGTCTTTGGTGCATATGCTCTCAGTGTACATAAAAAGACAGGATACAATTCATAAAGAATTGTTTAGAGACAAGGATAGCCTTGTCTATGTAGGAGAAGAAGAGACTGAGCTGGAAGGCAGGGTTAAATGTGTCATCAATTTGGAATCATTGCATTGTCACAAAAACCTAAGTCCAGCTCTTCCGCAATGAATTTTATTCCCCTTTATATGGCATCAATTTAGCTTTGACCATTTAGCTGACAAGATTCTTGTATTAGAAGTAGCAATAATAAACTCTTCCATGCTTTGAACTCAACAAATACTTCTGGTTATTTTCCCCCTGACAGTCTACCTATCACCACTCTGCTAAAAGTGCCCTATATTCTCAAACTCCAGAAGATGGTAAGCAGTCCCACCAAATGTGGTTGAGTTTGATTGGAGGGTTACAGATACAGTTAAGCAAAGCAGCCACCTCACTTACCACCCAAATCTGCAAAGTACTTTTTGCACGGCATATAAGAAGCAGAAATAAATCTTTTTTTGTGAATGCGACCTCTCCACTTACCTTATTATAATACTTAATGACATTCCCATAAAATAGTTATGACTGCATTTTATTTTGCTTTCACGGAAACAAAAATTCAGATTGATCCTATTGGTTCGCTCTAAAGAGAAACCCGGGCTCATAGTACCACATGTGGTGGATGTGTGTAGAAGCCAAAAGATACTGGACTAAAATCCACACATGGTTGGAAAAAATGACAAAAAAAACACATAGACTTTAAACCAGAGATCTTTTTATTAGGGATTGTACCAGAAATATACAATAGAGAATTGAGATACTTAATTGTTAATGTGTTAACAGCGGCTAGAATTGTGTTTGCTAAAAATTGGAAAAATAAGAAAATACCAACACAGGGTGAAGTTATTAAGAAAATTATGGAATGTGCTGAAATGAACAAATTGATATTTGAAATTAGAGAACACGAAGACAAACAATATTATAAGATATGGGATTTATTTTATCAATGGCTAGATAATAAAACATGGAAATGAAATAGGGATGAGACTATTAGAACATAAGAATGGTAGAAATATACAAAATATAATATAAAGTGGTATGACTATTGTTGATTGAGGACAAAGAAATGAATGTTATAATATAAATAATTGAAAATATTTTTAATGAAAAGAGATTAATTAGGATTATACTACAAAGATACTTATTAGATTAGTAAAATGAGAAATTAAATAATTAGTAAGTAATGAATATGGTGAGGAAGTACAAAAGACTTGTAACCAATTGACACACCTTTTGCAATTGTATGGATGATGGATTTATGTTTTTATATTTTGTCTTAAAATAAAAAAAAAATTCTTTCAAAAAAAGAGAGAGAGAGAAACCCCTACATGAGCAGCTAAGCATTAGAAAGAGGAGCAAAGAAGCAAGCTAATTTGTATATAATTCCACCTCCATGATGTAGTATCCAAAAATCACATGAAATTTCAATGAATTCTCTGAGTAATATTCTAGAACAGTTCTTCTCTGGAATAAAGGCTACACTGGGGGTTCTGATTTACAAAGCAGGAATAGATTTTAAAATAAGCTCAACAGACTTAAACAGGCATTGAGCTGGGAGGAAAGAAAAAAAGCATCCCTTTAATCAATCTTTAACCAAACACCCTGTTTTGTAGGAACAAGTGTGCCATCAAAGAAGGTTAACTAATCAGCATTCAGCCCTCTTGTATAAGCCATGTTATTTGGTTATAGCTAATTCTCCTTGTTCCATGCACGCTGTTCTGAACAATAATTCAATGCAGCTGGGTTAGGAAGCACCTTGTTATTGACAAAAGAACAGTTACTGCAATAAGCAGATCTCGAACTAGCAACAACTTGGTTGATTTGCAATGCCAATCCAGGCATGGATTTTTGCATTCACTTTTTTTTTCAAGTCTGTCTAAATAATGTCCTAATGGTCTCTTGAATTGGTGCATAAAATTAGATCATATTGTTTGTGGGGACCTTTGTGTTTCCTAGCCAGATTGCTGCATTGGTGAATCGTTTTCACCACAAACGAAAGGGGGGGGTCAACCTATTCTCCAAAGCAACTGAAGGCAGGACAAGAAGCAATGGATGGAAACTAAACAAGGAGAGGACCAACTTAGAACTAAGGAGAAATTTGATGACAGCGAGAACAGTTAACCAGTGGAATGGCTTGCCTTCAGAAGTTAGAATAGAATAACAGAGTTGGATGGGACCTTGGAGGTCTTGTAGTCCAACCCCCTGCTTAGGCAGGAAACCCTATACCATTTCAGACAAATGGTTATCCAATCTCTTTTTAAAAACTTCCAGTGTTGGAGCATTCACAACTTCTCAAGTTGTTCCACTGATGAATTGTTCTCACTGTCAAGAAATTTCTTCTTAGTTCTGGGTTGCTTTTCTCCTTGATTAGTTTCCACCCATTGCTTCTTGTCCTGCCCTCAGGTGCTTTGGAGAATAGTTGTGGGTATCCCATCACTGGAGGCTTTTAAGAAGAGACTGGACACTGGCTCTTGTCTGAAATAGTTTAGGGTCTGCTGCCTGAGCCGTGGGTTGGACTAGAAGACCTCTAATGTCCCTTCCAGCTTTGTTATTCTGTTATAATTGATTTTGATGCTCCTGAATCTCATCATACTCTGTTTCTTTCACAGTACCTCCGGATGATCCAATCATCATTGGAGGACCGATCATCAGTCTGCGAGCTGGAGATCCACTGAATCTGACCTGTCATGCTGACAATGCCAAACCAGCAGCAACTATCATCTGGATGAGGAGGGGGGAAGTCATCAATGGAGCAACCTATTCCAAAGTAAGGAGACCTGGCAGACACCTGGAATGGGGAAAGCAAAGATACTTTGGGTTTGCAGAGTTTTTGCCACAAGGAGCTTCTTATGAAGTACAGCTAGTTGTCAACTAAAAACCCCAATTGGGACCAGAATTGTTATTGCTAAACTAGGCAATGGCTAATGTGCCTGATTTTACTACCTATTTTGTCACGGTTCTTAAACGAATCACTGCAGTAATTAAATGAATCACGTGATCGTTAAGCAAACCTGGCTTCCTCCATTGACTTTGCTCATTGTAAGCCAGTTGAATGACAATCACAGTGATGACAATCACATGACCTCAGGATACAACCATTGTAAATACATGCCATTTGCCAAGCACTCAAATTTGATCACATGATTGTGGGGATGCTGTAACAGTGGTAAGTGGTAAGGACCGGTGGTCAGTCACTTTTTTCAGTGCCGATCTAAGTTTGAACAGTCAGTACATGAATGGTTGTAAGCAGAGATGGTATTTAGACAGTTCGTACAGGTTCAGGCAAACCGGTAGCGCTGCGATCATTTGGCCCCACCCACCCACCCTTGCTCCATCCTGTCCTTTATTTCCTGCTTTGTAGCTCATCTCAATCGCACAGCACAGTTGATTCCGCCCTCCCTCGCTGTTCTACTTACCATTGCTGACTTGGAAGGTAAGCAGCTGAACTTCTAAATGCTCCATTTTCAGCACTGCACACAAGCGCCTCAAGTGCGTGCATGCGCAAAGCGCACACTCACTGAACCGGTTGTTAAACCAGCAGCATCCCACCACTGGTTGTAAGTGAAGGAGTTTGTTTAGATCCATTCTTTTCGGAGATCTCAGCCCACATTCTTTCTATCACACAACTCATGGCATCACATTTGTCATTCCATCCCAGCACTGAATCCAGACTTGCTTAGTTTTAGAAAAGAGGGAGAATTATATGCCGTTTTATAATGCTCTGGGATCTTCATTTTGAAGAACAATAGAAGTAGAATAAGCAGTTGGAATAATGCTATTTTCTCTACATCGTAGTATAAGAAGCTCAAGTGATACAGGGCAGGTGCTCAGCAGGAACACCAGAATGGATAAATGTACTATTGTTTCATATACTATGTTGCATGAAATCTATATATGCTCCTATATCAGGGGTGTCAAACTCAATTTCATTGAGGGCTGCATCAGGGTTTGTTTGACCTTGAGGAGCCGGGTGGGCGTGGCTGGGGTGGGCATGGCCAGCTTGACGTCACTCGTGTTGGGAGCACCTGTGGGGGCCCTGGCAGGGCTGGGGGATCCATTGTCTCCTTCCTTCCTTCCTTCCTTCCTTCCTTCCTTCCTTCCTTCCTTCCTTTTCTTCTTTTCCTTCCCTCTTCCTTCTCCTTTGTTCTTCAGAGGCACCACAGGCCAGTCCTTTGCTGTTTCCAGGGCGGCCCCGCCGGCCAGATCTAAGCACCTTGTGGGCTGGATCCAGCCTGTGGGCCTTGAGTTTGATACCCCTGTCCTATAGTGTATGAAATCTAAATGATCAATAGGCACCCACCACCTGCATTCCACAAAGGCTGGGTTGATGCCAAGTCACTGAGACCCAAACATGGAGACAAGCAAAGACAGAACTGTAAAACCAAGGATTTTGGACAAAGCAAACTTTATTCAAGGCAAATTGTCCCCATTGCAGCTGGAGAAGCCATAAGCTAGACTGCCTACCTTCCTTTGGTCTCCAGCTGACCATTTTGCGAATATGACACTAGGCTATAATTTCCGAAAGAGTGCTCGGTGCCTGAGTGCAGCATTATATTAGTTTCTAAGAGTTTTATTTCCACTGTAAAGAAAACTCTGCTGCTGAAAATACCACCAAGGTGCCTCTCAGGCAGGCAAAAAGCAGGAGACCTGAGGGAGCAAAGGCTGTGGAAAGTAATAGCTCTCACCTCTGCATATTATAAGCTGCCATCTCAGAGATGTCAGCCTCACCTTCGTGCCTCTTGGCACCACTTTTATCTTGGGCTGCCTTGAAGTTTTTATTATTGCAGGAGTGGAAATCGAGGTTCATGTGATTTTGTTGTATGTTTGTATTTGGATGGCAAGAAGATGCCACTTTCCTGTTAAGTGTCATTGCTCATTGTTGATGTGGCTGATTGAAAGCAAGAAGGCAGAAGGAAGGAGCTTAAGATACCTAGCAACAAACATGATGATGGTGAAGAATGCTTAGTAAATTGGCTCAGCTGTGAATATCAAAGACTATCCTGAAATAATGTAAAAAAGATGTGGAGACTCTAGAAAGAGTGCAGAGAAGAGCAACCAAAATGATTAGGGGACTGGAGGCTAAAACATATGAAGAATGGTTGCAGGAACTAGGTATGTCTAGTTTAATGAAAAGAAGGACTAGGGGAGACATGATAGCAGTGTTCCAATATCTCGGGGGCTGCCACAAAGAAGAGGGAGTCAAGCTATTCTCCAAAGCACCCGAGGGCAGGATAAGAAGCAATGGGTGGAAACTAATCAAGGAGAGAAGCAACCTAGAACTAAGGAGAAATTTCCTGACAGTTAGAACAATTAATAAGTGGAACAACTTACCTGCAGAAGTTGTGAATGCTCTAACACTGAAAATTTTTAAAAAGACGTTGGATAACCATTTGTCTGAAGTGGTGTTGGGTTTCGTGTCTGGGCAGGGGGTTGGACTAGAAGACCTCTGAGGTCCTTTCAAATTCTGATATTCTATTCTATTCTATAAATCTGATGAGAATCTGTAGTCCAATATAGTCTGGAGTTTAATTCACCATATCTGAAAAACACCCAGTTGGACAGAACTGGCCTGTTCTTATTAGTCCCTCCTTGCTGGCTTCAGGCTTCTGGCAAAATCATTTCCAGTGATTTCTTCCCTGGAAATCTTAATGATCTGAGTGTCAACTTTGAACCGAACCTGGCCACAGTCATTTTTCTGTTCCTCAGTTGCCACACAGAGGGGGAAGGAGGAGGGAAGGAGGTTGGGATGCCTTACTAGACACAACAGAGAGCTTTCTCATGAGAACCAAGGTCATCTCTACTGGCAACAGATAAGGTCAGGGAAGGAGTGCCTGGAGAGCCCACCAATTAACTCAATTGGCCAACGTGACTTGTGACATTTGGAGATGGGGTTATTTCCTATTTTAATTATATTGAAACAGCGAGAAAGATTTAGAGCTGGTTTTCCTTTGAAGCTTTGCCGATATGATGTACTCAATAAAGATCTTTGAGGAAAGTCCCAGTCTCAGAGTTCTGATTTGCTTGGGTTCATTAGTTGGAACCTTGACACTGGGATTTCCCACTGACAAAGCCTGTGATTCGGGACTCACAACCAAGGGAGTCAAGTCCAGAATCAAAGAAGGTTTGATTGCCCATGATGAGATTGTCCAAGTAAAGTCCCAGCATGGTTAGGAGAATTTCTTGGTTCTTGTTGAGAAGAACCAATCACTTCTCTAATTGGATGTTTGGAACAAATCCAGGACCTAGGAAATCTAAACAGATGGGAGAGATTCTTTTTCCCCAGCAGGGTTTGAATTCACTGTATATGGCAATTGCACACCAAACTGGGACAACCCCACATTCACACCATATCTGTGCACAGGAATTGCATGTCTTAATCCTTTGGATAGCAGATACTCAGAAGTGATTCTTTGTTTGTTTTCTTGTTGCTTTTGTTTGCTCCAGAGAAAGTGCTTCTGCTTTTGTAAACATCATATCTGATGTTGTTTGGAAGTGATCCAAAGAAAACTACTGCATACACAGATTCTTTGTGTACAATTTATAATTCAGTGGCAAAATGTCTGATTTGTATGCAAACATTCCCAGGTTCAATGGTTAACACCTACAGTAAACTCTTGTATGAAGCTCAGGAATTAGAAGATGGCTGCCAGTCGAGATTGGCAGCATTAGGCTGAATGATCAACGGTCTGGCTTAGTGTAAAGGCAACTTCTAATATTCTTATTGATATATATGCAGCTTCTGTTCCAAAAACCTCTTGGAGGCCCATAATGAGATTGTCCCTTATTCAGTGGTGAAATCCAAATTTTTTTACTACTGGTTCTGTGGGCGTGGCTTAGTGGGCATGGTGTAGCTTGGTGGGTGTGGCTTGGTGGGTGTGGCAGGGGAAGGATACTGCAAAATCTCCATTCCCTCCCCACTCCTGGGGGAAGGATATTGCAAAATCTCCATTCCCACCCCACTCTGGGGCCAGCCAGAGGTGGCATCTGCCAGTTCTCTGGACCACTCAAAATTTCCACTACCGGTTCTCCAGAACCTGTCAGAACCTGCTGGATTTCACCTCTGCCCTTATTCCATAACTGCAGATATGGTCTTCTGAATGAGACTAATGCTTCCATAAGGCAGGCCTAGTCCTCCTTCCATCAATGAGCACAAATTGAAGACGTCTATTGAGATTCTCAGTCATCCAAGTCATGGTTGTCCCCAAAGTGCTTTTTCAGGATGCAACTTAGACTACTTGCTTTTTTTTTTCTTTGAAGACGTTCTCATCCAAGAAGATTTTTCATCTCTGACAGGATCCTTCCATTCTCCACCATCCAGTCCGAGCTGAAGAAGCTTCTTGGATGAGAAGCAAAACGTCTTCAAAGAAAAAAACAAGAAGTCCATTTGCATCTTGAAAAAAGCACCTTTGGGACAAATTGAAGAAGTATTGACACATTAATCAATCTACACTAGCGAGATCAGAAGAACAGAAGAAGGCAGAAATAATATTCCACAATATTGTCTTACAGAGAGAGCCAGTTTGGTGTTGTGGTTAAGGCGCCAAACTACAAATTGGGAGTTCTAACTCCATCTTAAGCACAAATCCAGCTGCATGACCTCAGGGCAGCCATATTCTCCCAGCCCTGGGAAGAAAAAGACAAGGGCAAAATACTTCCGAAAACCTTGCTAAGAAGATGTACGGACTAGTGTAGGGTCTAGGGCAGGCAATTGTCAGGAGTCAACACTGATTTGAAGGCAACCCCAGAATTTTCCTTCTATGTAAAATA